CCAAGATCCCTCATTTCTGACAGCAGCTGAGGAGTCCCGGTCCCAAAGGCCACACTCAGGTTCAGGAATTTTCCAGTAGGAGCTTCACTGGAGTTAGAAGGAGAACTGCCCGGGAGCGCTTAAGCTCACTTTCGGCTTATTGCAGCACAAGGAGTCAGAGGAAGGCCAGCCGGGAGCAGGCCGTGAGGCAGAGCCTGCGGGGTCCTGGCTGTGGCGTGTGCCACACACAGCACGAGTGACCAGGGACGCTCACCTCGGGCTCAGCGTCCAGAGGACGCTGCCCCTAAGGCACGCGCGCTCCAGGGCGGCCACGGGGCACCAGCCTCGGGGCTCGCAGGGCTGTGGGGGTCTGTTCAGGGGCTGAGGATGGAGGTGAAGCTCCCATGCCACTGCCTCTGCTGTTCATCTCCAGTTACCGAAAGTGCAGTGCTCTAATGCCGGCAAGAGGAAAGAGACGAACGTGCAGATTTAAGCTTTCTGTTGTTGGAAATTATGTGGTAAGATAAAGGTTAGAGATAAAAATTGGAGGGTAGTGGGTTCTCCAGTCTGACTAGGTGCTCATGTCCATTGTGACTTAGCTGCTTATCTTACCTCCCTGCTCTTCCTCATTCGTGAGAATAGTAATAATAGTCACCACCTTATGAGAATTAAGTTAGATACATTTTATGGCCAAAATAGAGCATGCTACTTGTCAGAGCACTCCGTAAGTACAAAATATAATTATATGTGTTTTTATTGGAGAAAATATATCCACCTTTTGCAGATCATCTTCCTTGGCAAGATTTGTGGCATCTTTTCCTTAACATTTTCCCAGTTATTTTCATACCTTTATGACTCTTTAGCATGACTGAAAATGTGAGTGAACAAGCTTTTCTTAGGAAACCACGTGTCTGATTTACTGAGCTTAAGTCTTGAGTTCAGTGTTCTAGTGACTCTGGGCTCTGGACACAGAAGGTCTTTACTGCAAATTGTGGACAGATATAGAGGTTAAAAAGACATAAGTCATTTTCCCACATTGCCTCTGAGAAATCCAGAAGATTCAAGAAAAAAGAAGCTAGATCTTGAGTCTGCACTTGCAGCACTGGTAGGGCAAGCCCTGAGCTCCTTTCTGCTTGGAATTCTTTTGCTTTCTTTGTTTTTAAGATTTATTTATTTATTTGTGCATACAGAACTGGGGTACAGCCAGAGGTGCAGGGTGGTGAGAGGCTTCACCAGAGATAGAGTGGGGAGCAGTACAGGCAGATCGACAAAGTACACTGCTGAGGGGAGCAGCAGGTAAGTCAGAGGAGGTCTGCCGCGCCCTGTGGGTCACCTCCACGCGGGGATCGAACTGGCACTGAGGCGGCTGCAGCTCGCTGCCGTGCTGCATCCCAACCAAGGAGGGCCCTCTTTCGCTTTCTAACCTGGAGCCCTTGACCTCTTCGTAGTTGAAATACTGTCTGATGCCTGCAAGGAACTGTCTGGCCTTTTGGAAACTATTTACCACTGAGGCGCAGGAGTTCCCTGTGATGTTAACTGAGCCTGGGGTTCATTCCAGGCCCCGGGCGCTTTTCAGGCTGAACTGCGAGACCGCTGTACCTTAGGCCTGGCTTCCGGCTCTGCCATCTGGGAGCTGCTCTTGTCAACGTGTTGGGATTAAGATTGTTTCTCTCAGGCCCTCCCTGGTGGCACAATGTGTTAAAGTGCAGCACTGCAAGTAGCCACAGCTGCCTCAGTGCGAGTTCGATCCCCGACCCCAGAGGTGACCCACATGGCACAGCAGACCTCTCCTGACCCGCCCGCTTCTCCCCTCAGCAGCATACTTTGTCGATCTGTCTGTTCTTCTCCCCTCTCTGTCTCTGGTGAAGCCTCTTACTGCCCCCAAAACCCGGCCTCTACCCCAGTTCTGTATGCATAAATAAATCATCTTAAAAATATACATATTGTATCTGGGAGCCTCGCTTTCATTTTTTCCTATATTGGAACATGTTGAAAGTCAGGCTCCTTGTTTTCCACCCCCATGGGCTAGGTGCTCCTCACTTCTGACCATGAGAGCAGCTGCTTGGGGACCCGGCCGAGAGAGCTACAGAAAGACCGTAGGCTGTGTCCTCCTGCCCTCTTGGACGTGGCTTACGTCTAGGACAGACCCAGACAGAGGGGCTTTGTGAATGGTGATCGAGTTACCTCACTGAGCATTCTTTTGTCCCCTAGCTTATCTCCAGTGATGCTGATGGAGCCATCCAAAGAGCTGGAAGATTCAGAGTGGAAAATGGCTCTTCAGATGAGGTAAGGAAGCTTCCCGAAGTGCAAGGTAATGGTGCTTGTGACATAGCAGTGGGCAGCTCGTGGTCCCACCACCGCCAGATTGGTGGGCTCCCGGTTCAGTATTTATGCACCGCCTGATAAAAGACCTTCGAGGTACCTGAGACTCAGAAGAGAAAAAACTGACTTGCCTGAGCTCGTTAGAGCAGCACTTGAGAGCTCACTGCAGCTGCTTGGCCATGTGCAAGCATTTTAATGGCAGAGCAATTTCGTTATTGGGTTATATTTCTTTGTAAAAATATGCGTTCTTTCCATAGTATGGGTACTACAGTACCCTCATCAGATGTATGATTTGCAATCTTTCTCTCAGTGAAAGCAAAAAACTCTTTTCCCTTTCTTGACTGTGTCCTTTACAGCACTAAGGATTTTTTTATTATTGTCATACAGATTTATTTATTTCTGCATACATAACTGGGGTACAGGCCAGAGACACAGGGGTGGTGAGCGGCTTCACCAGAGACAGAGTGGGAAGCAGAACAGGCTGACTGATGAAGTACACTGCTGAGGGGAGCAGAGGGCGGGTCAGGAGAGGTCTGCCGCACCATGTGGATCACCTCACAGGCAGCCGGGGATCGAACTCATGCGGAAGTGGCTTTAGCTTCTTAGTGCTGTGCTTTAACCCGCTGCGCCATCAGGGAGGGCCACACTAAGGATTTTAATTGAGCCACATCTGGTTCCTTGATGTTTCCTTTCATTGCTGTGCTTTGTTGTCTTAACTAAGAAACAGGCCTCATCCAGGTTGCCTAGTCACTTTCTATTTATTTCTTTGTTGTGAAAAGTATTTCATTAAAAAAAACTTTAGTCAGACAATCCAGTATTAACTCAAGCTCTCAAAAAACCGAGGGGTGAGGGAGGGAAGCCAACAGATGCATCTGAGGAATGCAGGCAGCTGCTGACAGTTCTCTGGCAGAAGTCTCGGTGGCACTTGGACAGCGGGGTGACTGTCGACACACGGACAGCCCTGGCGACTGTCAGCCCACGTCTGTCTTCTCACAAATAGATTCCAGGACATACAGAGACTCCCAACAATACAAAGCTCTAACAGTGAAGTTTAAGGATCGAGGAAAAGTCAAATGTGGTGATGCTCATGAATAATGTATAAAGCAAGCCTTTCAGTCCTAGAAAACCCGAAGGGGGCGGCCTGGCAGAGGGGAGATGCACACTGGGCCAGTAGCCAGTGGGACGACCTTACACATTGCCCAAAGGCCTAGTCCCTTTTTGATATCCCGCTGTTCCCTCCAGGATGTCACTTTTGCCTTTATTTCTGTAAACACACAGCCAGGGTAATGGTTCTGTCGTCTGTGACCGCCGATCTCAACGCCGAGTTTTTCGAGCTGGCGCTTGTCCGCGGTGGCGTGTGCCCTTGGGGTGCTGTGTCTGCGTGTGCCGGCGGCCTGTCTGTGCTGCTCGCTGTTCCTGGAAATGAACATTCAGGAACAACATGAGATCGGGAGGAGCTGGGTTTGGGTAGAGTGTCAGCTTGTGATCTGCAATAGGAAATATCTACCTGGTCTTTGTCCCGCGCCACTAGTTCCTAGAACCCTTGGATGAGAGTGATAACATCTTGTTTCGTTGGTTCAGCTGCTTGCTCTGGCCACGAGGGCCTCTCAGACTATCTAGTTCATGCACCCCAGGTCACTGAGGGTGGGACTGGTCTCCCCGATTAGAATTAGAGCTTGCAGCCCTATCCCGCCTCCTGGAGAGGGGCGAGGGCTGGAGGTCAAGTTCACAGTGACGATGACTCAGTCGTCTTAGAGCCTCCACAAAAACCCAAAGGATCAGCTTCAGAGAGCTTCCAGACTGGTGAACACGGGATGTGTCGGAAGAGGGCAGGAAACACCCGTCACGTCGCCCCACACCTTGCCTGAAGCACCGCTTCTTTGGCTGTTCCTGTTTTATAAGAAACTAGTAATCTAGTCAATAAGGTGTTTCTCTACATTCTGGAAGCCACTCTAGCAAATTAATCAACCCAAAGGAGGGGTCACTGGAACCTCCCCCTACAGCTGACCAGTCAGAAGCACAGGTGACCACCTGGACTATGGCTGGTTCTGTGTGTCAGCTGGCGGGACTGGGTCCTCGGCCTCTGGCTGCCCACCCTGTCGACTCGTGTTGAACTGCAGGACACCAGCGGTGTCGGAGCGGTGCTCGATGGCATGGGGAAAACAGCACATTTCGGTGGGTGTCAGAATCCAAGGCGGTTAGCGTTCACTTTTGCCAGGTCTCTTTACAGTCCCAGCACCTCAAGGTGTTTACCAGCTTGGGGCTCCCCAAGCTCTGTGGGGTAGGTGTTGTCATGAAGGGCTCATCACAGGCACGAGTGAGTGACTCATTGGCCACTGATGGTCATCTCAATCTCCAGCCCCTCTCCCCATCCCCAGGGCTGCAGGATGGGGCTGAGGTTTCCGGGGTTCTGATCTATACTTGGTCTTTCTAGCAACAGGCCCCATCCTAAAACTATGTAGGGATTTACCAGGAGTGACCTCATTAGAACAAAACTAAATGCTGCTATTGCTCAGGAAATTCCTTGGCGTTTAGGTGCTCTGTGCCAGAAACCAGAGACTAAGAACAAATATATATTTCCCAATACATCACGCCCTAAAGCAGCTAATTCTATTTTTCAGCATCTCTGATTGCTAGAAAGGTCTTTCTACTGAACAGAATTCATCTGCCTGTATTTTTGCTCAGCACATCTGTTTGTGTTTCCTGTAGCCTGCAGTGGAGAGCTGAGCTCTCTTCAGTACCACAGACCCTCAAATGTCTGTAACATCCTGTTTCTCTCCTAAGACAAGACTCCATCCTGCTCACCAGCACCCTCGCTGCCTCTCCTACAACCTCACCCTTTAAATCGAAGTGCTGGGGACCCAACCCAGGGCTCCAGGAGCTGCCACACAGCCCCTGGTGATGCAGACTTGCCCTCCCCTGCTGGCACGCCCCTCTCCTCCTGGCAAGCCCCTCTCCTCCCGAGACTTTGCTGCCTCCGGCTGCCGCCTCACCCATGGGCACCCATGGGCACGCCCCTCCCCCCCCAGGCTTTAACGCTTGTTAAAGGTGCAGACAGTTTGGAGTCAACAGCTGACTGCGGCCTCGGCTCTACTGCCCACAGGCCTGTGACCCAACATCTCTGTTTCCTAGTAGGTGAAGAGCGTGTTCACGCCTAGGTGGGGGCACCTGGCTCCGCCCCCCCCCACCACAGGTGGTGTTTGTACCTGTGTGAAGGGTTTGCATTTTTCACACTGAGTGTACGCTCATAGTGAGCCCCGAGCTTCTTTGACATCTTGATCTGTCACCTGTCCTATTAGCAGCCCCCTGGGAAGCTTCCTGTTACCTTCAGATATGCTTGTCTTGCCATCTGTGTTCTCAGTCCAGTTATTAAGGCGAGCGTGACCCCAGGCTCCCAGGGGGCCTCCCTTACTGCTCACCATGTGTAGTGGATCAGTTAGGAGAAGTGGACAGGGACCATCTTTTATAAATCTATCTTCTTCAACAAGGGGAGGGTGCTCACACACTTGGGGTTTGTAAATGAGTACAATTTGGGGGAGCACAATTAGCAATAATGAAAAAAGGATATACATTTTACTCAGCACTTGTGCTAGATGTGTGTTGTAGCATTATTCAGAGATGAAGGCAATGGCATAGAACTGGAAACAGCCACACTTTCCATCAACTGAGGACAGCTATCTACATGATGATACATTATATGCAATGGCGTGCTTATTGGTTATTAGAAAGAATAAAATAGCTGTACATATAATACCATGGAAAACTACTTAAGACCGTCAGACATAAAAGCAAGTTTTAGAATCACTTATATAATGTCTCCCCAGTTCCTTAATATCAAAGAGAGAGCCTTGCCATTCCACTTCAGGCCTTTTTGTGCTTTTTACAAGTTTCATAAATCTAAACTTAAGGACTTCATTTTAAAAAATCTGCCTACTTGTTAAAAAGAATAATGTAGATGTATGTGACCTGACAAATGTTTGAAAGTGTTTTCTCTAGTGCAAAAAGCAAGTTTCAGTGTAGTATCTACACTCCTGTCCACTTATGGAAACAAATTACACATATGTCTCTAGGTGTGTGTTTATGTGTGTGATGTGTGTATGTCTATATGTTTGTGTTATGTAAAAGCATACAATATCGGGGACTCTCCACACCAACCAGCTGGAGTCATTATTGTAGGGAAAGGAAGTGAACTGGGGCGTGGAAGATGGAGAAGAAAGGATTTTCACTTTGGTGTGGTTTCAGTTTTTTTGATGAGTTTTATTCATATTTGCAATTTAAAAAAATTAGCTTGGGTGCCAGCCTGGTGGCCTACAGGTTAAGTCTTAGCACTGTCACCACTGTGGCCTGAGACTGATCCCTGGACAGGGAGTGACCCAGAGGGCTCAGCAGACCTCTCCTGTCACCCCCTGCGCCCCTCAGCGGTGTGTTTCAGTCCATCTGCCTGTTTGGCTCCCCACTCTGTCTCTGGTGAATCTTCTCACCCCTGCACCTTTGGCCAAGCCCCCAGTTCTTCTACACACACACAAAATTTTTTTTATAACAGCTTATTTTTACATCATTTTGTACATTTTTTTCCCCATCTCAATTGTAATCCCCGCGGGTTTCCCATCACCAAGTCACCAGTGTGCCATCACCATAATCCCGTGCACTTCCCCCCCCCCCCCCGTTTTTGATCCCATTCCCCACTCCACCCCCGCAAAATGTCTCTGGTATATGGCTGTTCATTATTCTTGTTATTTTCTCGCCTGGTCTATTATACTCCTTACGCAAAAATTTTTTAAATTTTTTTTGCTTAAGCTTAGTCCATCTTTTTTTACTGCCAGTGTGTTCTCTCAAAGATTTAACCTAGGAACTGAAGGACAGCCAGTCCAGATGCATTCACTCAGTAATTCCACACACTCCAGAAGCGATGAGGGAGCCCAGGCACCACGTGGGAGTGGGGCCTCAGGGGCAGGCGGTGCTGT